CCCGCACTCAAACTAGCACCCACATTTTTACACAAAGCGAAACCCGACACATACTACGTTTACGCGAGCGTTACTTCTGTAGTAACTTACGATAATTCCTTCGCGTAAACGGGATTTTTTTTCGCGTAAACAGAATTTTGTAGTAATTTAATTTTTACTCCGCGTAAACGAGTGAATTATCGTAAGTTACTACAGAAGTAACGCTCGCGTAAACGTAGTAACAGCACAATCGTACGACATATAAAATTTCGCGTAATTCGGCGTCGAAACGTTTCGCTCGAAAATCGAATACAAACTGAGAGGCGAGAGGCGAAGCGAGAGCCGAGCTTGCCGAACCAACCCCCCACACCGGTGGCGCCGGGGGCAGGGGCGCCCGGGGTCAACGCCTGTTGCTCGCTTCACGTTGGAGAGAAAAAAAAGAAAAGATGAACTGTGCAAGAAGTTCAGCTAAAACGAATTTATAATGCACGATAGCTAATTCTTATTGTATATGCGTCTGTTTACTTTACACACGTATACACCTAATCGCCGCTCGCTGCGGGACACTTTTCTTGCCGGCGCGTGTATATATCAACGTACATTGTATAATATCATCAATGTTTCACCTGCCTCATTTTTTTATATAACGAGCATAAATTTATAATCTATAATTTTATAACTTCATAAGTATGGTGATGGACGACAGAACCTAGGATAAAGATGTAAATAATAACAAAATAATTAATGATATATATTACTAATTCAAAAAAATATCGCAAGTGTATGCCCATTCTGCAGTTCTATTTATTTGCTGCTCATCAGTATCGAAATGAAACAAAACGGATATTGTGAAAACTAAACTAAAGGCAGGTAGCAAACGAAATTATTTTTAAAATAAAAGAAGCGCGTAACTTTAATGAAATTGTGGATGTTGGAAAACATATAGCGGCATAACGGTGAGCAAAAAATAAATGCTGGTAAATTGAAGAATTATCTTCGCCACACGGTCAACGGTATATACACATGTAGAAGTGTGTACACTTTTTTATACGGTAAAAAAAGAGACATTCGGACATGCTGAAATAAAACGAAAACTTGTTGCAGAAAATCGTTATTATGATCTTCTTTGCACTGTAAGGAATTCTCATCAATACATCATTAACCAGCATTGATATGCATATCCATTAAAGCCCTTTGATATGTCTCTTAAATATGTATAGAATTTTCCCAGCGACATTACTGTTATGCTCCAGAAGACGTGAATTCTGGTAATATAGAAAATATTTTTCCGCTATATTATGCATGCCATTTCGATTGTGTGTATAATTTAAGATTTAAAAATGTATACTATAAAATGTGTACAATATTCTCCAACATCGTATAAATACGCTTCCAAATATTACTCTTTAGACGAAGCTAGCACAAAAGAAATTAGGCTCCTTACTTAATCAAATCAGTCATTTCGCGTATTTACGAAAAACGTACAAAACACATTTTCTTTTTAGACATTGCGTTCGCAAGATTTCTCAATTTACTTTTTCATTGGCAAGTTATATTTCAGGCAAACATAAAAAATGAAATCCGAAATGAGAATAAGATGTAAATTAATATAGTCATATATATGTATAATTTCATGCATATGGCAGTTCGTAGTATTAAGATACGTAGATCTTTCCGTGAAACTTTATTTATTGACTCGCGGCACGATGAAAGCGCGTCCTGAGCGAAGAATAACTTTTCAATTTAAATTTCGGATTTCAATCAAAATTTCCATAATTGTGATGCTCACCCTGCTTATCCAGCTCGTCCTGCTCTTTTGGTAGGAGAAAAAAGTAGCGAGCACATTTGCGATCAAGGATTGACGTGGAATTAATTGGTTTTTTATATATGTATCTTCCACACACATACACACAAGCTAAAAATAAGTATTAAAGCAGCAGTTATCCGTTTAGTAAGCTTAAATGAGTCTTCTTAGAGCTTCTTAAAAGTATAATTAATTCTTATTTTTAAATAAAATATTCAGAAATTATTATAAGACGTCATATATTCAGTTTATAAATTTAATTATTAAATAAAATAACTTTGCTAGTGTAAGCTGGGTAAATTTTTTTAAAATAGTAGTTCGCGTGTATTTCTATACTTATGTATTTTGTTTATAAGTAATTGATTGCTTCGGCACTTGCTAGCTACTAAATTTCATACTTTTTTTACAAGGCAGTCGCGTCCCCCCTATTTATTTATTCTACTAATGATAAAATTTTAAACTGTGTCTAGGGTTTTGGAACGCTTACAGCTGGAGCAGTGAATTTACACTTTCAAAAGATTAGGCACCGACTGATTTGACGCGAGATGCGAAGGGCTGCTTTTCAGGCAAGGATGTTTGGCAGCCAAACTCGTTGAATTTGAACCCCATGGACTTTTCTGTGTGGTCTTGGAACAGATCTCTGGGGCTCGTTTTATTTCAACGAAATTCCTTAAAGGGGTCCTGGAACGTGCCTGGGATAAAATTACCATCCAGCAGTGCGCGACCATTGTGAACAATTTTCTGAAACCTGAAACAGCTTCAAAAATATATTAAAGTCAAAGGAAGCAATTTTGAACATTTATTGTGTAATTTATTGTAATTTTCTTTGTTTAATTTTGTTATTAATGTTCTAATAAAGTTTTATCTTCTGTTTAAAGTGCAGATGCTTAATTTCTATACCGATTTCCAGCTGCTTAATGTGCTTTAAAAAACGTCCTTATGCATTAATCATAAATGAGAGCTGTTACATGACATGACGAATACGCTGAAATAACAAGAATTTATTCTTATATGTAAAAAGCTGAGTAAGAAGGAAAGGAAAAAATTCTAAAGGTGCGTACTAACTTAATTATTTTACCAAAAATAATATATTTAAATCGACAACAATTGGCAAAACAGTAAGTATTTTATAACAAGTATTTTGTAACAATTAAGTATTTTATTTTTACGCCCGATTACGAACGATTTCCGCGCACGAGTACTCTGTAAATTGAAAGTATCGATTTTGCTTCGATACACGTTCTGAGCACACACTAACGCGATCCGTCGTTTGTCGGTCCATCAAAGGATTTTCGTGACGAAACGATGCTCAGTCTGAGGCTCGATTCCTGAATTTATTTGAAAGAGAAACGTATGCAAAAATTCTGCTTTTACAGAAAAGTTGCAAGTTGATTAGTTAAAAGTTAAAAGCCATACGAGAGCCAATCAACTTGCAACTTTTCTGTAAGAGTATACGTTTACATTCACAGCTATCAGGGAGCATTATAGAAAGCAGCGAATTTTCCGTTCTCGCAACCGAATTATAGATCCGTGCATAACGTGACGGGAGTTCCGCGAAGACTTTTTGATCGCGTCTCGGTCAATCTCATTGTGTCATGCGCGCCTGCACGAATGGACAACCCGTCATGCTAACCCGATGTCGACGCAACAACCAGTATATACTTGTAAATAACCCTTGTAAGTTTAAATTTAATTGAAGACTCTCTCTCTCTCTCTCTCTCGATTTTAACGATAACTTTTAAGGTGGCTGTTTTCAGCACTGCTACGTGAAAGCTTTAAATATTATTTTAAAATATGCAATATGTAATATCAATAATTTCTAATTGAGGTGTAAAAACAGCCCAAAGTAATTGTTTATGCAAAAAAAAAATAAGGCGCCCTTTCATGTTAATTTGTCTCGGATTAGAAAAACAATATAACATTCTTATTACAATTATACAATAAAATATACATTAAAATAATTGCGCGCTATCGCATTTTTAATTTAAAAGCCATTTTAAAATTAAATATTAGATTCTTATGCATTATTATTTTATATTATTTTAAATAATTACAACATTTTAAATATATTCTTTATTTTTTATTTTGCAATATTTGTTTCATTGTTATTAATAATTATAACTAATAGAAGATATAATAACACATTCTTATATATGAGATATTTTATTTTTAAATTGTACAAAAGAATAAAATTTGGTTATAATCAGTAATGATTTTATAAACATATGCAGCTCAAAAGAAACGGTAGTGTTTCACGCATAGTGCATTGTTAGCTACCTATAATATAATTATTCTTTTTACACGAACCTTTATTTATACAATTCCATTGAAAATCTGCAATATAAAAACGTTTTATAAATTAATATCTTTATTTCTTAGAAATACGATTATAATGAGCTGCTTTTATTCATAATGTGCTTTTTTCGTAAAAAAATTTTTTAGTTTCTCCTTATTTTTTCAGAAAATGTTGAATAAATTTATATACATTGTTCTCAAATACTGATACATTATAGAATAATTCAAAATATGCAATATATAATTAATATAAACAATGACTTTTAATTGAGGTGTAAAAGTATAGTCTTAAGTAACAGTTTATGCAAAGAAATGAAGCGCTCGTTCGGGTTAAGTCGTGGGCGTAATATTCAAACATTCATAAAATAAACCCATTAAAGTATCCGGTGGAGCAAAAGATCTTTTTCGCAGAAAATATATATCATAAAATTAATAATATTATATTACATAGAATATGCGTTTTGTTCAAATATCACATGAATCATACGATGTTTATTTAGCGCCTTCTACACAGAATGCAAAATATGCAATACGTTTTGAAAATATGATATTAATAGGTGCTTTCTAGTTAACGACACAAGCGTCACTCTATTCTTGTTGCTGACTAGATGTTGAAAAGAGACAAAATGACGCTTGTGTCGACTTGTGTCGCTAAATGAAAAGCATGTTGTAACATCCGATTCGTTGCATTTTATATGCCAGTCCGAGTTTTATTAAACTTTTAATAACTGGAATAAAATAAAAACAAAACAGTTAGGTGTAAAAATTAAATTTTATTTAAAACAGAAGTCGTTTTTGTTCGACCCGACTGGCCAAATAATTAATTTATTTAAATTCACAACGTTTTATTTATTATGCAAAACATAAATTTTATTATGCAAAACATAGCGAAATGAGATTATAAGATTATCGTTATAAATATGTAATTATGTATTACCACCAATTTAACAATATTTAAATTTAAATTATTTATAAAAATTATTTATAAAAATTTTCTCGAGACTTCCAATTCTAATCAAAATGCCCATTGCACAAATGCGCTGTACACTGTACAACACAATTTTCTATAGTCTTTTCTCAATTACGTAATGTTCTAAAGAAACTATTATGCTATTATCCAAATATTTTGAAAAGTACATTTTATATTTATTATAGCGTTTTATAAATTTATTATTAGGTATATTATTGTGATAAATCGTTATGACATATTTCCCAGTGACACAGATTCGGGCCATTCTATGCCTAAATTAAGCGAATTCACAAGTTAGATTTAATATTAATTTCCATATTAAGCGCACATATTTTTGATCAACATTCCCTTAAGTCTTAAGTAATATAAAGTCGTAATTGCAACATATGGCAGATAGGATATCTCCTTTTAGAATTTTATGAACAATTCACCTTTTGTTCATTATTTCATAGCAAATATAATTGATGTATTTAACATATCTCTAATTATTTTTTTTCTGCATACGCACTGAAAAATGGTATTATGGCAAATTTCAAACGGCAAATCTTATTTACAAGATTGGTATTTAAGATCATTAATTTTTTGCCAAGAAAAAATTGTAACAATCATGTACCTAATATAATTTATAAACTTCTTTTTATTCGCAAACGTTTGTAAACGCAACAAAAATCGATATGATATACGCTATAAGATAAATCGATATGACATATGACATAAATATGAAAGTTGGACTTTCAGTTCTACAAAGATTGCACCGAAAATGATGATTATTGATGCATATAAATCTTTTAGCATAAATGTTGTTAGTATCAAAAATACAATACGACATTTTAAGCAAAAAGCTGAAACAAACTTTTATCGCTATAATGGTATCCTTAAATTTTTTGTGAGAACTTTAACAAAACATATTAATCTAGCTAGAGATGTGCAGAAAAATAGAGAAATATTCGTAGAACTGTCTGATATGTATATGTCTTCTCTGCTTGTAAAATCTTAGATTTTTGCAAATTAGCGATCATGACTTTCGGTACAATCTTCGTGTTAAAGTATAAGACAATCTTTCCAAATTTTATATAAAAAATCGATATGTTGTTTCTTGATATCGTGATATTTTATATACTAATTATAATGTTCTCATTGGTTTTATATTCATATGCCTTTTAAGAAAATTAATGTTGTAAGAAATAATTTAATAAGCGAACAATTTTAGTTTTTGTCTGATCTATTCTGATAATAAATCAATCATAAAATAGCGTAATGTTATTCACTATAGACAGCTATATAAGTTTACATTGAAAACATAGCCTTCTTTTCGCAGCTATATATATCTTCCATTCAATTTTTATAAATGCCATCCGTTGAATTGTCACCTTGGACTGAGTCGCCTCGGATTAAATATATTGGAGCTATTGTACACATAAAATAGGCTCAATCATGTAAAAGTCACAGAAAATCCACAATTACAATTACTGTAGGAAATGAAGATGTCTTACGAAATAAACTGGAAAGTAACAGAATTATTTGGACTATTTTATTGTTATTTCTATATTTTATGACAAATATTTACGAAGTACGCGTAAATGTCAAAATAAATTAACAAAAAAATGGACAGAATGGATATTATGTCAAAATAAGTATTTTATTTACAGGCAACGATAAAATATTATTATTTAGAATAGATTATCGTTAATATACATCGGTCCAGTTATCAATTTAAAACCAATTTTTTTTAAATTTAGTTTTGCCATTTGTAAGAAAAATAATAAGAAGCACGAACACTTATGTGTGATCGAAAATTCTTTAATTTCGACATTTTATCTACTTACTAGCGATTCCCTAATTTTTTGATCGATGCAACGACGATAATACGCTACGCGAACGTAAACTCCAGGTCTATTCGCTTTGCCGCAATGTTGACTCCAACTAGTTATCCCGTATAAACTGAAAGCTCCTAACATAAAAGAGAATACAAATTTTAACAGTGCTGTCACAAATACAAATATAAATTTAATTCAGAATATAATATTTTCTTTTTTAAAATAGAATGTGCAAACTTTAATTCTCGAGTAAAAAATTATAAAGAAATATATTCTTTCTAGATATAAAAATTTTTATAATATTTTCTGAATTTTACTATTACTTGCCCATCCTATATATAAATATATTTTTACAATTCTGACTGCAATCTATATTATATTTAAAAAATTTATTGTTGTACATGGCCCGTCGTACATGATATGATTTTTCATTATAATTAATTTATTGATTATATTTCAACATTACCATTATGGTAGCAGGCTAAAGAGCCTCCAGAATCGCCATCACATGTGTCGATAGTCGATACCCTCATCAAGATATCCTCCAGCGCATATCATTCCGTCGCTTATGGCACCTTCACCATAAACATAACTAGCTGGCAAACTGACTGATCTAACAAGGGCACTCAGCCAAGTCGTAAATCCTTTGATTGCGCTGCAAAAGAATCTGAAGTATGTGCATCCTACGAGATTCAGTTTAAAGTAATTCTCTCCAATATATTTCACTTACTCGTCTTGCCTGTTTCAATACCGCCGAATCCGCTGATCGTGCAATTCAATCCCGGCGAATATTCAGTATTTTCAGACGGTAAGCAAATTGGCATGATATCTTTCCCAAGCGGAATGCCAAAGACCTTTAAGTAGAACCAAAGCAATATCATTGTTCATCCTATTACCTTTACGAAAGTCTTCGTGCACGTAATAATCCTCGATATTGGCTTCCACTTCCGTTCCTTCGTTTATCTGATAATGTCAAACACAAGATAAATAAAAGTGCAATGTCTGAATTGTTTAACAAATATATGCATGTAAATATTTTTGGGAATTTTGTGATGATATATAACTATATATATTTACTTGATTTACTTACATCCGTGTTATAATCTCCCGCACATACAAAATAGGTGCCTTTGTTGTAACCTTCTAAACAATGTGCCGCTGTTAACACGTGTAGAGGTGATATAATAACAGCACCACACCAATGATTTGATCGACTGTGCCTTCGAACTCGAATGCTGGCCTAAATATTATTTAACAATCTCTTGTATAACTAATATCTCGCTACACATCTGATCGCAATATTTATTTTAACATTAAACAAAAAAATAAATCTAACATTTTCTTTGCAGTAAAAATTATTTACCTGCCAGGGATAAGTGTCTTTTGGTGCAATGGAGCCATGCACTACTTTTTGAAATATTAAGTCTCCATCGTCATCGAAATCTTTGGCGCGCTGACCACAATTTGACGGAAGTAGCTCGTTAATGCTTTGTTCCGGATGTTCTTGGCTGTTTATCCAGTATGGCTGCTTAATAAGAAGAAACATCGGGAAATAAACGAACAAATCATGCATACATATGTGCATATTATAAAGTTTTGTCTATTTTGAGATTGTTATCAATAATATAATTATTACGACTTATGTCAAGTCATATTTTACCGTATATTTTTTAAACAATTAATCTTTATACTTCCAAGATTATTTGCAGAACATAAACTCCCAAGAGTCCCAAGTGGAGCGGAGATTTGTCGGAGGAAAAAGTGGTACAGGACTTTTTTAACTTGATTTGGTCGCAATTAAGAATATACTGGTGCAATAGTGCTTTAACTTTTATAAACATTTGTGTACACATGAAAGTTCCAAAGAGATTTTAATCATGTGAAAATTGCATACTTATGTGGAGTAAAAATGTATAATTATATATAGACCTCGTTATCCGAATCAAAATCCCGATGCAGGATCTCGCATTTTGCATCAAAATTGTAAACCCATGTGAAACTATTTTATGTTAAGAATAATCGTTGTACGTTGAAATAGAAGAAAATTGGAAGTGGCGTATAATGAATAAGTACTTAAATAATTTTTATTTACTGGACAATGTAATAGTAATCTATTTATTGTCTTTTATTAATTATATAGTTTGTTAGAAGATATATAATTATTGTGATTAATTGATCAATTCTTTCAGAGTAATTATAAAGACGTTTAAACACAAATTTAAGCTGCTATGCAATAGTCACAATGTTCTTCTTTGGTTCCATAACGAAGTATTCCATCTCGCATGTTACGGACACGTCGTTTACAACATATGTCAAAGTTAAGATCGTTGGAGGTGGTTCCGATAATCTAACGATTTATCAAGATATTAATTTGAAAAATTTATAAAACAAAAGTTTTTTACATAATTATTTATAGGAAGAGTACCTTGCCCCATTTGGGAGTTAAAAAGTTAAGTATTTTACACATACTTTTCTGTACCTATATAAATATTTCAAGTTCTAATATTATTGTAAAGTGTATCTCAAATGCACAGCCTATGATAACATTTAGTCTCAAAAATTGTGATAAAATGAATGAAAATTTGTTTTATTTACTTGGGCGTTGTTAACATCTCCAGGTGAACAAATTACATCTGCGTCTTCGTTATGATCGCAATTATGTTGACCTCAATGATTATGTTCGCATCGATATAATTGCGATTCGTTTCCATGACAAAAAACCTATTTTGCAAAAATTAAGAAAATTATTTTAGAATACTAATAAAATATCAATTAAAAACAGCTAAATAATTAGGACATTGAAGATATATTAATTAAATATAAGGTATATATATTTAAAGAAATGTTAAAGGAAGTAAGACAAATAAGAATTAAAAAATTAAACAAAGTAAAATCTCAAATATAAATATAACTCAAATATAAATTAAAAGATCTTTTACAACAAAGATTGTTCAAGTAACAAATCTTTTTTTGCAAGAAATAAAAAATTAAATGTGAGCTACAAATGTAATACTTCATCGAGCCATATTGGTCCTTGGCCAGGCCCAAAGAAACCATTTTTCTTAGCTATTGCGATACCACCGTATCCCAAAGATCTGCAAATGACTATTGCCGTAGCATTTGTGAAATCATCATCGCACACGGTACCTCACACGCCATGATGACGCACTTCTACTTTTCCTTGCATAAGATTGCTGCCATTCATCAAGCGCAACTCAAACGGTGCCTGAAACCAAAATCGTATAAAAATAAACAAATCTATCTATTTTTACTTTTTTCTCAACTCTCTTACATAGCAATGTTCCAGATTTTCATCGGAATGATTTGGACAATCGACTACCTCGTCGCAAATAAAAGAAGTCGGTATGCAAGTTGAACTATTGTCACATTTCCAGTAACCTTCCTGACAAGTGTTGACCGCGGTCTTGCAGATGACTCCAACAGCCTCTTTCGGTTGACAATTATGAACTCCCCATCTATAAACGGAAATATAAATACTTTAGCTCTATAAGTTCTAGTAGAATCGTTATTTTACACTGTTAAGCGATCGAGTGTTAGAAGAAATATTATGTTACAAGAAATAAGAAATAACATTAATCTTTTACGTTAAAATCGTATTTCCGTAGTGTGGTCACGTTTCCGCGACACTTCAACTGATCTACCATAAATCTCGTTGGTGGATCGAGATTTCTGTAAAATCTACCCGGTCTAACTTTAGTAGCCGTAAACTACAAATTGTTTTTCTCAAATTATAGCCAAATTAATTAATAAATTTCATTAAATTTATGCTCCTTTTAATTAGTAAGATCAGCCGCAACCCGCTACAGAGCCGGATTTTTGAAAAAGGATCAAAATATGTGACAAAATGTCACAAATATGTCACAAAATATGTGTTAATAACCTTAATAACTGCGTTACACTGGCTGTATTCCTTTATTCACTGCCAGTACTGAAAATCTATAGTTACTTGACGCAAACTATATATTTTCAGCACTGCCAGTAAAAAAGGAACACGTGGACTATTTGTGAAGAGTTTTATTAATATCTACGGTCTGACTCTTGATTGGTTCCGCTATTAATGGGGAATACGTTAGTGGGAGTGAGACAAAGACCCATGAAAAGTACGAGTGGGAAGGCTGTCTCTCTCGATTGTTCGCATAATTCCCCATTAATGGCGGACGGTGTCCTAACTCTTGAGGAACTCTAGTGTTCCATTTCAGAGAGCGCCACTAACGCTGGTCGCGCGAAATACATGGGAGTTTGCAGTCTTGATTGGCAGCCATTTAACTAAATCTAGGGCCGATATCACAGTCACCGATTAACGTGATCCTCCGATTAAACTCACTCTGCATCTCTTTCTAACTGTCCCCCTAGAAACAGACGAAGAGTGAGTTTAATCGGAGGATCACGTTAATCGGAGACTGTGATATCGGCCCCTAGAAGTGTTCCGAACACTGATTGTTCCGAACCCGTCATAACCTAACCTGCAAATATTATTTAAGAGAATTTTTACCCTGGGTAGAAGACACCTTTCTATTCCTCATCCAAGGAAATTTGAAAAAACGTCCTACAAAAATATTTTGTTCGAAAAACACTTAGATATATTAGAACCTAGGTAGCAAAATGATACGCCAAAGATATCAAAAAGCTAACCAAAAAAGGACTGGGATGACTTTTTAGTTGGCTAGGCTGCGGTCCATTTGACGCTACAAATGCTTCGTAGCGTTCTTCTTTTCCTTCTTTCTTCATTGAAAGAAAGGAGAAAAGAAATGCTTCGAAGCATTTGTAGCGTCAAGTGGACCGCAGCCAAAATTGTATCTCATGTCCACTTAAACGGCGCATATTGATGTTCGTACGCTAACTGTCGATGTCCGTACGCTAACTGTAAGGCATCTTATAGCGTTTACCAAATTGGCAACATATGGTCAACCTATATCAGCTCCCAGTAGGTCAACGTTACCAAATTGCTGTTAATTATGTTAATTAAAGTTACCAAATTGCTATACAGAAATAGCCGTCATTCAACAGATGTCTTATAGATGTCCAAAAGATTAACAAAATGGCATCTAAACGGCACGAATAAATGATGTCCAAAAGATATCTTATTTATGGAATATATAGGACAGAGACAGGTGTAAAAAATAAATGATAAAAGTTTATTGTTATCTGAAATATGAATGTACACAATATAAAGTTAATTGTATTATCTAAAATTATGAGTATACGGTTAACAATCAACTAGTATATTTTATAATATAAAGTTGATGTAATTATAATTAATATATATATTAAATTAATATATATTATTATATATATTATATATAATTATTATATATATTATATATATATATATATATATATATATATATAATAGTGGACTAGTCCGACAAAGATCAAGTAACTGTAGTAATACTCGAAGTTGTTGAGATTTTGAAAGCTGTTACATGTGAAATTCAGCAAGATGCAAATAATCGGCAGACTGACCAAGACCGCGCCGCACACATGCCACGGATACCACCGGGAGAAAAACTTAAAGATCTTCTGCGTGAACGTCGCGTGAGCCGTGTTCGGATAGAGAAGTCGACGGATGCAGAGCGACACTGCGATCACTTGAACGGTGATGGCGAGCAGGGAGAATACTATGTAATAAATCGTCGGTTTGCACAGAAGGAACAACGAGATTGTGACGACCGTGTAAACCAGGGCAGATATCAAAATGTCAAAGTACGTATTGAATCTCGAGGTGGCTTATATATAAGGTAGGTGGGTTATCGCCCATGCTCTCGTTGGCCTTGTGCGCATTCTCTCGGTACTCCTTCTCCATTTCCTTATTCTTGAAGAAGAGAGTGACGCTCGACAATGGTGGTTTTGTAAGGTGCGCCGAGGAATGATTTGTCTCACCTAATTAACTTGAGATCGGATTGCTTCCGTGATTTATGAAAGCACGCGTCAAATGTATCAGTTATCACCGGAGGGAACAGATAAGGGGGCACCGATGACGAAGGTTCGTGAGTGGAGTTTAACGTCGAACTAGAAGTATAATAGCCACTGACCCTGTGTCCCAATAGATCACCTTGAGTCATGCCATTCATTAAAAACAACTGCAAAGTCATAAAAAAAAACATGATAAAGCAATGTATTCAGTGGTAAAAGAATTCTGGAAAATATACCAGATTTACAAAAAACGTACCTGCTGTTGTATACTACTTCGCCTGCTATTGCTCTTGATACCGGAATCTTATTTTCTACTGCAAATGGAAGAAGCATTACTAATCGACTCTTGATCAGATAATAAAGGACTAGAAGGTACAGGATTCGGATCCATTTCAACGCCGTTGTTCAGAGGGATCTGCAAAACGATCGTAAGCACTGATCAATCATAAAGTAAGTCACTATTAGCAAAGAAAGCAAAAACTACTAACTCGTTTAAATCCATTACATTCTTCGTACGTCTGACGAACCTTCGTCTGAATATCGAGTTTCGCTCGCGCCATAGCGATATTTCTTTCCTCTTCGATCTCCAGGTGTCGTATCCTCGGTTGTCCGTTGTCTCTGCAGATATCTCCACGGCTTATGCCGCACTTTCTTCTTGCCGGAGCTAGCGGTGGACGTCGGACTCTTGTTTGAGTCCTCCTTCTCGTCCGTGATGTCACCGTCGTTCTCAAAATCCAAAATACTGGGCAAGGAATTAGCCTTCATCCTGTAATTGCTCGCGTTTGTGACCATATGGAGATAATGCCGCGGTTTGGCGATTGTTGCACGACGCCAGGCGATTCCACGATTGCATCAATGGCGAAATGCTCTTGGGTGACGTGACGTTCGTGATAAATTGATTCACGAAATCCGATTTACGGGCTCTAATGAAGTAAATTTCTACCCCTGAAAAAACGATGAAAGATTCATGCATGTAATATAAAATTCAGATCTCCGTTATTCTTTTCTCCTCTTCTTCTTTCTTCACATTACTTTACTTACCATTTACTACTTCTCCATTTTCCATAATGTATTGGTCTCTCAGAAATCTCAAAGCATTTTCACTCAGATGTACACGGCCGGGCTTTCCTGTGCTCTCCAATTTATTTGCTAAAGTCACATCATTCGACCAAACTTCAAATTTGAATCTCTTTGTGCCCACAATTCTACAGAGTATGGTACCTGTGTGCACACCCACTCTCATGTTGACGTCCTCGCGTCTTTCGATGTCGAATTGCTTGATAGCTTCGATCATGGCTATTAGAATGCAATTCATAACATTAATTTCACAATTAAGATTGAGCTAATAATGCTTATAATGTATATAATAATGCACCTACCTAGCTCTATTTCTATGCAACATTTTGCATGATCGGACCTTGATTTCGGACATCCGCTTACGCAGTAGTAGCAGTCTCCCAATGTGATCTTTTCACAACCGTGATGTTCGCATAGATCATCAAAACGTTCGAATAGATCGTTTAGAATGCCCACTAATTTTTCCGCGGTTTTATTCGAGCTCATCCGAACTCAACGGAATAAAAAAATAGTGTACGTCACTTTACTTTATTTATATTATTTATTACTAATTACTGCGTGTATAACTCGGTATAACCTGAAAAGTACACGTGTGTATTATAGTCACGCTTTATGATATATGCATGTATATATACTAATATAGAAAAAGCGAAAGTATAATATATACTTACACGTGTATTAATTACAACACTTTATATATTTACACACTTTTTGTCAAACAATTTGTCTCTTTCGTGATGGAATAAAATCTTCTTCTTCCGGTTATTAGCACAGCTTTCCTTTTCGGTTACGCATCGGCCGTTATTCGATTCGTCTGTGATAACTGCGTAGTATGGTACTGGTGCGATTATATTGTATTTCAGACTCGGAAATGTGTATATGTTTGTGCGTGCGTGTAAATGTGTGTGTATGTCCGCGGTGTCGGGAACTCGGGTTATTGTTACCGTAGGTTCGTTAGGGCCGCAGGGGGAAGTGATCCGCGCAGTTCCTTGGGCGATTGAAAAAAGACACGCCTCACAGCTCATACTTGCGTCAGTGCAATTGGAAAAAGACACGCCATCATTCGGATAACAGTAAACGAGATATCGATTTAAAGGCATCCATTGGTCATCTTATGGTAAAATCATAAAGGCAACCTTAAAACGACAACTTACAGATACCTTTTTGAGATTAATGCTACCTGGGAAGAGACACGACAGTTGTCTCGCGTCAAGTGTCAGAATTGTAAAATAATATAATTGTTAATTCATTTGAAGGATGTCTCGGAAACTGTTGAGAGGATTGAATCACTGGATTACTATATTTAAAACTGCATTGTGAACTGTATTTAAAGAAACGTGAAAGATACATGATGTATTTTCTAGCACAGTTTGGCATAGCTGTCATCGACACATTTATGTGATAAGTGCTGTGTTATTCACATATGAAGAAAACTATTTTTATTGAAGGTAAATATTGTAATTATAGTATACAATTAAAATGAAAGTGATTGAAAATGCTGCAGAATAAAGGAAAGATAATTGTGAATTTAATCTGAAAAAAATGCTGTTAGGGGTTAAATTTCTTAATAGTTATTTGTGTAACAAGTGCTGTAAGATGGAAATTGGACGTGCGGCGTGGACGCACGAGCCGAAGGCGAGTGCGGTAACCGCACCCGGGAATTTTCATCTTTACGCACGGCTTGCACACCCTATTTTATGTTGCAAGTGCGTGGAAAGTGGTCTATCACGCACGCGTCGCGTGCGTAATGGGCCACTTTCCATGCACGTGTGACATAAAAGATTTTTAGAGAACTTGTCATTCAAAAGTATGAAAAAATGGTTGCAGGTAAATAATATAGCAATAATATTTGTTTGTAATTAATTCGTCACATTCAATAATTAACACACTCATGGCTTATATCGATCTTTTTCATATCAGTTTTACATCATATATGACAGAAATTTATAAACTGCATGCAAGTCATATTTGTATAGTTTATTAATCGTCAAGACGTTAA